CATAAAATATTTCGTCTGTTTTCATCTTACTCTAGCTACATTCAGATGGCTTAACTGAAACTCCTCCAGGTTTACAACTGAGTCCTTTGTTTACTCCAATACACTTTTGTTGCATGCAAAATCCGTAGTAAATAATGTGACAACATTGCATCTTTTGTTCCTAAATTTAATAGCAATGTGGTAATTGTGTAGATAAAATATTGTGATCGATTTCAACTAGTCATGCTTGTCATGATGCAATCAGGGATTTGAGTCCATTCTGATAATCCCTGAGCTGTAGGGAAGATGCGAGACTAGATTACTTAAGGAAATTATCTTACTGCTCGGTAAAAATAACTTTATAGTCAGTAAAATATTTTAATTAGCATTTATTTTACAATGTTGTATGTCCTACAGGCCATCTTACAGTAAAAAAAAATCATTCCGGTATGTTTTTTCCTTCGTGATGGCATTATTAATGTTATTCTTAGGTTGTCGGTTACTCATCACTAAAATAAATTAATCACAATTTACTAAAAAATGTCGAGGTATATTTCAAGTTTACATCAAAACTCATCTTCAGCCTCTAGTAACAACATATCAACAACATAACAACGAAAACATTTAACAAATAGAGTAGGCCTACTATTACCGGTCGCGGTAGTAGGCCTACTCTATTTGTTAAATGTTTTCGTGCGTAATGTGTGTGTATTTATTTAAATGTTTCTTGACGACCCCATCATGGATGAAGACAAAGCATTCTTGCTAGGATACCGCCTGACGATGCCTGAATAGGTGAAACATGTTGTGAGTTTATTCACTACAAAATTGAACTGTTGACGTAAAGGTATGTACCTGATCATATTAGTCTAATAAACAGTTCAGGGGCTAAATCATGAATTTTAACAAATATTACTCTATGCTATATTGAGCACGTACATGTTACACTATGCTATATTGAGCAAAAAAATGCTACTCTATGCTATATTGAGCACACAAATATTACTCTATGCTATATTGAGCACACAAATATTACTCTATACTATATTGAGCACAAAAATGTTACTCTATGCTACATTGAGCACACAAATGTTACTCTATGCTATATTGAGCACACAAGTATTACTCTATGCTATATTGAGCACACAAATGTTACTCTATGCTATATTGAGCACACAAATGTTACTCTATGCTATATTGAGCACACAAATGTTACTCTATGCTATATTGAGCACGCACATGTTACTCTATGCTATGTTGAGCACGTACATGTTACTCTTACCCTATGCTACCTGTATATTGAGCACGTACATGTTACTCTTACCCTATGCTACCTGTATATTGAGCACGTACATGTTACTCTTACCCTATGCTACCTGTATATTGAGCACGTACATGTACTCTATGCTGCATTGAGCACACAAACGTTATTCTATGATACATTGAGCACGCACATGTTACTCTATGCTATGTTGAGCACGTACATGTTACTCTTACCCTATACTACCTGTATATTGAGCACGTACATGTACTCTATGCTATATTGAGCACATAAATGTTACTCTATGCTATATTGAGCATGTGTTCCTCTGTGTCTAACCCTATGCTAGGCCAGTATACGTAGTGGCGGGTTTTAGCATTAGTCTGTGCTATATTGAGCACTCAAACGTTACTCTATGCTCATTGTGCATGTGTTCCTCTATGTACAACCCTATGGTAGACAGTACGTAGTGGCGGGATCTCTTATCACTGACGTAATGTTTATTGGCCACTTCTTATCAGTAAACCTTGGTCCATCACTGGTCTCATCACATCATTGTTTATTTTAGTTCTCACACACCGCGATACAAAATGGTCAAATGCTCGGAACCAGAAGAGAGATATGGTTTAACCTTAAAAAATTTAGTGGAGATTTAGTGTTGTTGTAAATTTTCGTGGATTTCCCCATTTATTCAGCGTTATCCTTGAATTATATACAATTTCTTTATTCAGAGGATTTTGCATTGAATTGTCACGAAACCGTGTGCATTTGGTTGAAATGAAAACAATCGGTACAATAGTTGAATTTATTTTAGATCTTTCACACCGCTAGGTTCAAGGGTAAGAATACAAAATTGTTAATTTCGGTTCTCTGAAATAGAGATACTGTAATGTAATAGAATTTGCCACTAAAACTAGATAAGCTTGTGTTATTTTCAAATACATGTCTCACATAGAAATTGGATTTGCATTTCTTGGGTTTAGTATTTCTTTACAATTTCTTTTCATCATATGGGTTTTAATAATTTGTGTTTGTTTTTTTCAGGGATAATAATAACCAGTAAAATAGATGAGGAGATATTTCTTGTTATTTAATATTTGTTCCTTATTAAAAAAAAAAAAAACATGAAATCATTGTGTTGGTACAAAAATTACAAGAAACTTGTTGTAAAGAAGTGACACTTTTTTACACACGCGTTCTGAGTGAATTTTAAAATAAAAGTATTTTGGTTACGTGATTACGTAGTTTTTGCAGTTAAATATCAAAAACTGTCAAGCTGGGACAACAAACTTTCGACATTTTGGATTATTTGTGAGACAGGAGCGCAGCTACTTATTCCACGTGAAGGGACATAAAGTTTGAAAAACAAAACAGCAGTTTCTCACGCAAGGAGGGCCATATTTTGTAAAACCATTAAATATTCAAGTGGAAAAACAGGGAGGGAACTGAACTTTGAAATCTTCCACTTCTCAACTCCTTACAGACTAACTATTTGTTTTTTGGGAGATTTACAAAATTCATAAGTTTAAATTTTAAAATAAACAAGTTGTTACCCACGGGCTTTACCCCGTTTGACTTCACAAGTATTAATAAAACCATAAAACTATTGATTGTTTAATTAAGCTGAAATAAACAAAACAGAATACAGTAATACAAACAAATAATCACACCTGATAAATAAGGTAATAAATTAAAAGAATAACATACAAATAAGTACAGCTGAGGTATTGTTAACATTAGGTATATGGAAAGGAATGACGACCTTAAAGGGCAATTTATGAAATAATAGCTTTGCGCAAGGTTTCTCGTCATGACGAACATTTTAAGTATATGGTTTATGGGGATGTGACTTATAGTTTTTTCAAAAGGACATGGGTACTTTAGGACTTATATAATCGATAAAAAATTACGAAATTTCGTTTGTTCATAAACATACCGTAGTATGTATTCATTTTATCATCAGCTGTTTAAAACAATCTAAATTGTATAAAACTGTTAAACCATTTTTTTATTTAAAAGATTACAGGAAATAAACTTAATTATAATTTAAATTGAATTTCAAGAATTAACAATATTGAAAAAGTATTATTTCACAATTTTATGCAGAGAAAACAATGTTTTGTAAAATACGGACTCGAAAGGAAAATAAAAAGGGAGATAATAAATTCATAAACTTCTATCCTCTTTTAGAGACACTTCTTGTATCTAAGGCGATATGCATAATTAGGGAATACGAATGCAAATTAAGATTTTAATTGAAAACTTCGGGTTGGGTTTTGTCCAAACTAATTTATTTTTTAACATTTTTTTACATTTTGAACACATTTAGTACTGTGTAAAATGTTTTAGGATGAAACATTAAGTATGTTTATTAAGTTTAGAGGTACATTATGAATTCTAAATATGTTTTTACACATTATGAAATATATTTTTTACGTAGAAAACTGATTAGTCAATTAAACACGTCATTAAATTAATTAATTATTCCACACTCAATGAACTTATGTAAATAACTGACATAAGAGAAGCAGTATTTTAATGAATTGTTTTCAAAGTAATATAAATCAATACATCTTTGTTACAAAGATGCAGTACAAATTTGTACATTTTCTATGTTTAATCTGGAAGTTAAAACCCTGTCTTATTAGTGATATTCTTTCCATCTCGCTGCTCTTTTGTCTTTCTCTCTTTAGATCCTATTCGTTTTATAAAATTTGAATATTTTGCTTTATTTCAGTCTACTTTGAACTGTGGTATTATTCTTTGGGATTATAGTTCTCATGTTCCTGATGTCCTGGTATTACAAAAAAAAGGTACAAAAAATGGCTAGGGTTGGCCCTGAATAACATCGTCGTCCTAATTTCATCGATTTTAATATTTTAACAGTTTTATATATTAATCATGTAATGTTAACTAGTTTTGAGGATATGGACTCCCATGCCACCATGAGTGGTTTTTAAAATTTTCACACTAGAAACAGACATTTTGAAAAAAAGTCATAACATTTTGGACCCAAATATGTTCTATAATTTCCTTACAAAGATTTTTAATGTTAATTGTGTGAATTTTTCCTATTGTTGCTTTCATAAACTGCATATTTTTTTGTATTTGTTGTCGATTCCACTTGTATCCTTTCTTGACTAATATGAACCACATACCTTTTGACACTACCATAATAAATGTATTTTGTCAAACTGGAAATTAACATTTGATTCTTGAATCTTGCCAATCACATAAACGTACTTTAAGTGAACTGTTAGTCTACGATAGGTTCAAAACAACCATATCATTAAAGTTAACACACAAATAAAATGTTTTTAATAAACTCCCTTCTTAGAGAGGAGGAAAATTTAAAAGAAAGGAAAAATAATATGTTTCTCCATTGCATAGATGCACTGGTACATGTCAAATGCAATTTTACGTAGTGTTTTTTATGTAAAGTATACTCATAATGCAAGAATTTGAAATAGATTGTATCAACTTACGATAAAAGTCTGAGTTCTACAAATAGACAATAATTGGACAGTGAGTAATAGTTTTACGGGTTTCCAAAAAAACGATATGATTTGAATCATTACCTCAACAACCTAATAAATAAAATAAAAAGTTAAAAACTTTAACAATAGTTGTTTTGTTTAGTTGTTCATTGATCCTATAAAGCACGTTTCAACCTTTTTGTCAGAACTCATTCTACACCTTAAACTTTAAAAATCCCAAATATATTTTTTTATTTATAAATATAATTTTTAAATTTACTGACCGTGTAAGAACAAGAGTCTGGTGATGCGACGACGGCGACGGCACAACTTAAGAGGAATATAAGATTCATGTTGGAACATCCGCCGCGCACTGAGGTACGGCACAGACTGAAGATACAAAACTGAAGACCGACAGTGACACGATTGTAGCTCGGCTAGCGGTGCGATATATCGAAATATCGAAACATACTGGGACTACTGTAATCGATACAACTTGTGCGATATCTAGACAGAATTCAAAATTTACATGGAAGAAAATATTCATACATTTAACACCATTTTTCTTCACACTTTGACGTTTTTAGCTGTTTTACATACGTTGATTGGTGGCTAAAAGTTACGTTTTGCTAACCATGCCAGCCGTCATCGTAATTTGGTGACCGAGCAGGTTTAAGGCCGCAAAATCAGCTGCCCGCTTACTTTCTTAAAACATGTATGCATATTAAATACACAATCAGTATTCATAGTACTGCAATAGAATTGTTTTTACTGTCACCGCTGCCTAGGAAATATTTATTATTATTTTTGCTGATTCATTAAATTATTTCTTCACGTAACCTTAAAGTTGTAGTTGTGTTGACTATTAGTGTGCATTATTGTGGAGAATAGTGGTAATAGGGTATAGTGTGGTGAAAAATAGCGTTCGTACCACGGACCAAAATGGTTTTTCAGCTCTCGATTATTTAAGTTCTCGACTTCGTCTTGAACTTAAAAACTATCTCGAGCCGGCAAAACCTTATTTTCGGCCCTAGGTACGAAATATACTATTACATCATAGTTTAACTGCGTGTAGGAATTGTATGGTTCAATTTATAAGTCAAAACATAAGTCATTCACGGTTAAAGAAAGAATATATTAAAATCGTATATTAAAGTACCTATGTTTTTTTTTTTATTTCAAGACTCTAAATCAACCACTTGACGGATTTTCATGATTTTTGTGTTGGAAGAAAGATAATTTTGAAAGGAAGGGAATGTTGAAAACATAACTATTTCTCACAACTTTAATACGCTCTGGCATAACACACTTATAAAGTAAATTGCTGTCTGAACATTACTGCAAGTCTTTACTAGCTGCTTACGATTCTTTCAACCTAGTTAAAGTCATTATTTATTGTGTTTTTACGTTGTTAAGTTGGCCGTTTTGTACTGAATATGAGCAAACACGTAAGAGGAGTATTGTGATATGGTCTACTTTTTTGGAATGGCTCGTGGCAGTGCAAGAGGAGCACCGCCATCTCCAAGATGGCATCGAAATAATTCAGTCAAATCCATTGTGGTGGGATTCGTCAGCTATTTTTTAAAACACTTTGGTAAAAACGTTGCTGTGGTGTTTGATGGATACCCTCAAGATGCAGCAATGAAGAGCACTAAATCAGCTGAACGCCTACGACGCTCTACTTCTCTCTCATTCATTGGAATTTTTTATTGAATCAACATCCATAAAAGTGTGCCCGAGCAAAAATGCTCTCAAATGAATCTAACAATCACCGACTGATCAACATGTTGTGTACTGAATTTGAGAGGCATGGTATTGAAATACATCAATCTCAAGAGAACAACGATGCTGATATAGTGAGGACTGCCCTCTTTAAGAGTTTATCGTTCGATCAGGTTTTTATAATTGGGGAGGATGTCGACCTAGGGTACTGGTACTCCTAAACGGATTAGGCTCTGGACAGACGAACTTTTGTTGAGGAAATTGCTAGGGATAATATCATAGGAAGGGCTGACTTGTTGAGGAAATGGCTGGGGATATTATCTTCAGAGAGGCTGGCTTGTGGAGGAAATGGCTGGGGATATTATCTTCAGAGAGGCTGACTTGTTGAGGAAATGGCTGGGGATATTATCTTCAGAGAGGCTGACTCGTTGAGGAAATAGCTGGGGATATTATCTTCAGAGAGGGTGACTTGTTGAGGAAATGGCTGGGCATATTATCTTAGGAGGGGCTGACTTGTTGAGGAAATGGCTGGGGATATTATCTTCAGAGAGGCTGGCTTGTGGAGGAAATGGCTGGGGATATTATCTTCAGAGAGGCTGACTCGTTGAGGAAATAGCTGGGGATATTATTTGAGGAGAGGCTGACTTGTTGAGGAAATTGCTGGGCATATTATCTGAGGAGGGGCTGGCTTGTTGAGGAAATGGCTGGGGATATTATCTTCAGAGAGGCTGACTCGTTGAGGAAATGGCTGGGGATATTATCTTCAGAGAGGCTGACTTGTTGAGGAAATTGCTGGGGATATTATTTGAGGAGGGGCTGACTTGTTGAGGAAATTGCTGGGGATATTATCTTAGGAGAGGATGACTTGATGAGGAAATAGCTAGGATATTATCTCAGGAGAGGCTGACTTGTTGAGGAAATTGCTGGGGATATTATCTGAGGAGGAGCTGGCCTGTTGAGAAAATTGCTGGGATATTATCTCAGGAGAGGCTGACTTGTTGAGGAAATTGCTGGGGATATTATCTTAGAAGAGGATGACTTGATGAGGAAATAGCTAGGATATTATCTCAGGAGAGGCTGACTTGTTGAGGAAATTGCTGGGGATATTATCTGAGGAGGAGCTGGCCTGTTGAGAAAATTGCTGGGTATATTATCTGAGGAGAGGCTGGATTGTTGAGGAAATTGCTGGGTATATTATCTGAGGAGGGGCTGGCTTGTAGAGGAAATTGCTGGGTATATTATCTGAGGAGGGGCTGGCCTGTTGAGGAAATTGCTGGGTATATTATCTGAGGAAGGGCTGGCTTGTTGAGGAAATTGCTGGGTATATTATCTGAGGAAGGGCTGGCTTGTTGAGGAAATTGCTGGGTATATTATCTGAGGAGGGGCTGGCTTGTCGAGGAAATTGCTGGGTATATTATCTGAGGAGGGGCTGGCTTGTCGAGGAAATTGCTGGGTATATTATCTGAGGAGGGGCTGGCTTGTTGAGGAAATTGCTGGGTATATTATCTGAGGAGGGGCTGGCTTGTGGGGAAATTGCTGGGTATATTATCTGAGGAGGGGCTGGCCTGTTGAGGAAATTGCTGGGTATATTATCTGAGGAAGGGCTGGCTTGTTGAGGAAATTGCTGGGTATATTATCTGAGAAGGGGCTGGCTTGTTGATTAAATTGCTGGGTATATTATCTAAGGAGGGGCTGGCCTGTTGAGGAAATTGCTGGGTATATTATCTGAGGAGGGGCTGGCTTGTCGAGGAAATTGCTGGGTATATTATCCGAGGAGGGGCTTCCTCGTTGAGGAAATTGCTAGGGAGAGTATCTTAGGAGAAGATGATTTGTTGAGGAAAAGGCTAGGATATTATCTCAGGAGAGGCTGACTTATCGAGGAAATTTCTAGGGATATTATTATAGGAGAGGCTGGCTTGTGGAGGGTATGGCTGGGGATATAACCTTAGGAGAGGCTGGTTTGGGGAGGAAAAGGCTGAGGATATTATCTGAGGAGGGGCTGAGGATATTATCTGAGGAGGGGCTGGCTTGTAGAAGAGATTGCTGGAGATAATATCGTAAGAGAGGCTGACTTGTGTAGGAAATGGCTTGGGATAATATCTTAGGAGAGGATGACTTGTTGAGGAAATAACTGGGTATATCGTCTTAGGAGGGGCTGACTTGTTGAGGAAATTGCTGGGGATATTATCTGAGGAGGGGCTGGCTTGTTGAGGAAATTGCTGGGGATATTATTTGAGGAGTGGCTAACTTGTTGAGGGAATGGCTGGGAATATTATCTGAGGAGGGGCTGGCTTATTGAGGGAATGGGTGGGATATTATCTGAGGAGAGACTGACTAGTGGAGGAAATTGCTGGGGATATTATCTGAGGAGGGACTGGTTTGTTAAGTAAATTGCTGGATATATTATCCGAGTAGGGGCTTCCTCGTTGAGGAAATTGTTAGGGAGAATCTCTTAGGAGAGGATGACTTGTTGAGGAAATTGCTGGGGATATTATCTGAGGACGGGCTGGCTTGCTGAGGAAATGGCTGGGGATATTATCTGAGGACGGGCTGACTTGTTGAGGAAATGGCTGGGGATATTATCTGAGGACGGGCTGGCTTGTTGAGGAAATGGCTGGAAATATTATCTGAGGACGGGCTGACTTGTTGAGGAAATGGCTGGGTATATTATCTGAGGACGGGCTGGCTTGTTGAGGAAATGGCTGGGTATATTATCTGAGGACGGGCTGGCTTGTTGAGGAAATGGCTGGGTATATTATCTGGGGACGGGCTGGCTTGTTGAGGAAATTGCTGGGTATATTATCTGGGGACGGGCTGGCTTGTTGAGGAAATGGCTGGGGATATTATCTGAGGACGGGCTGGCTTGTTGAGGAAATGGCTGGGTATATTATCTGAGGATGGGCTGACTTGTTAAGGAAATGGCTGGGTATATTATCTGAGGACGGGCTGGCTTGTTGAGGAAATGGCTGGGTATATTATCTGAAGAGGGGCTGGCTTGTTGAGGAAATGGCTGAGGATATTATCTGAGGACGGGCTGGCTTGTTTAGGAAATGGCTGGAAATATTATCTGAGGACGGGCTGACTTGTTGAGGAAATGGCTGGGTATATTATCTGAGGACGGGCTGGCTTGTTGAGGAAATGGCTGGGGATATTATCTGAGGACGGGCTGACTTGTTGAGGAAATGGCTGGGTATATTATCTGAGGAGGGGCTGGCTTGTTGAGGAAATGGCTGGGTATATTATCTGAGGACGGGCTGGCTTGTTGAGGAAATGGCTGGGTATATTATCTGAGGAGGGGCTGGCTGTTGAGGAAATGGCTGGGTATATTATCTGAGGACGGGCTGGCTTGTTGAGGAAATGGCTGGGTATATTATCTGAGGACGGGCTGACTTGTTGAGGAAATGGCTGGGGATATTATCTGAGGACGGGCTGGCTTGTTGAGAAAATGGCTGGGTATATTATCTGAGGACGGGCTGGCTTGTTGAGGAAATGGCTGGGGATATTATCCGAGGACGGGCTGGCTTGTTGAGGAAATAGCTGGGGATATTATCTTAGGAGAGGCTGACTTGTTGAGGAAATGGATGGGATAATGTCTTAGGAGAGGCTGACTTGTTGAGGGAGGCTGATTTGTTGAGGAAATAGCTGGGGATATTATCTTCGGAGAGGCTAACTTGTGGAGGAAATGACTGGGAATATTATCTGAGGAGGGGCTGGTTTGTTGAGGAAGTTGCTGGGGATATTATCTTAGGAGAGGCTGACTTGTTGAGGAAATGGATGGGGATAATATCTAAGGAGAGGCTGACTTGTTCACTTTGTAGAGGCTGACTTGTTGAGGGAATGGCTGGGGTCATTTCCTCAGGAGAGACTGACTAGTGGAGGAAATTGCTGGATATATTATCTGAGGAGGGGCTGGCTTGTTGAGGAAATTGCTGGGTATATTATCCGAGGAGGGGCTTCCTCGTTGAGGAAATTGCTAGGGAGAATCTCTTAGGAGAGGATGACTTGTTGAGGAAATGGCTGGGGATATTATCTGAGGACGGGCTGCCATGTTGAGGAAATGGCTGGGTATATTATCTGAGGACGGGCTGACTTGTTGAGGAAATGGCTGGGGATATTATCCGAGGACGGGCTGGCTTGTTGAGGAAATAGCTGGGGATATTATCTTAGGAGGGGCTGGTTCGTTGAGGAAGTTGCTGGGGATATTATCTTAGGAGAGGCTGACTTGTTGAGGAAATGGATGGGATAATGTCTTAGGAGAGGCTGACTTGTTGAGGGAGGCTGACTTGTTGAGGAAATGGCTGGGGATATTATCTTCGGAGAGGCTGACTTGTAGAGGAAATGACTGGGGATATCACCTTAGGAGAGGTTGATTTGATTAGGAAATGGCTGGGTATATTATCTGAGGAGGGGCTGGTTTGTTGAGGAAGTTGCTGGGGATATTATCTTAGGAGAGGCTGACTTTTTGAGGAATGGATGGGGATAATATCTTAGGAGAGGCTGACTTGTTGAGGAAATGGCTAGGGATATTATCTTAGGAGAGGCTGACTTGTTGAGTAAATGGCTAGGGATATTATCTTAGGAGAGGTTGATTTGATTAGGAAATGGCTGGGTATATTATCTTAGGAGAGGCTGACTTGTTGAGGAAATGGCTGGGAATATTATCTGAGGAGGGGCTGGTTTGTTGAGGAAGTTGCTGGGGATATTATCTTAGGAGAGGCTGACTTTTTGAGGAATGGATGGGGATAATATCTTAGGAGAGGCTGACTTGTTGAGGAAATGGCTAGGGATATTATCTTAGGAGAGGCTGACTTGTTGAGGAAATGGCTGGGGAAATTACCTTAGGAGGAGATGATTTGATTAGGAAATGGCTGGGTATATTATCTTAGGAGAGGCTGGTTTGTTGTTGAAATGGCTAGGTATATTATCTTAGGAGAGGCTGGTTTTTTTAGGAAATGGCTGGGGGTAATATCTTAGGAGAGGCTGATTTGTTGAGGAAATTACTGGGGTTCTCATCATAAGAAATGCTGTCTTCATTAATGGAAATAAAGACATTTCTGGGGCTCTGGGCGCAGGAGAGCCTGGCTTGGCGAGGAAACAAATGAGGTTTTAATAATAAGAGAGGGTCATCTTGTCGAATTGGCTGGGGATCGTATTACTGGAGAGGCTGGCTTGATGAGGAAATGACTGAGGACATCATAATCAGAGAGGTTGGATTGGTGAGGAAATGGTAAGGAGTTTTGTCTTAGGAGAAGCTGGCTTGGGATATTACAATAGGAGATTCTGGCTTGGTGAGGAAATGGTTGGGTATCTCATTGTAGGAAATGCTGGCTTGGTGAAGAAACAAATGAAGATCTCGTGACAGGAGAGGGTGTCTTCTTGATATGCTGACTAACTTTGCTGGTCGGGGATCTTATCACAGGAGAACTAAGTTTGGTTAGGGAATGGCTTCAGATCTATCATAGGGCTTGGACAGGAAATGGCTGGTTCACACCATAGTAGTCTCACTTCTTGATGAATTGGCAGCAGATGTTTTCATGGGGGAAGCTTTCTTTGAGAGGTTTTTGTGGATCCCACTGGGGATCTCATGACAGCATATGCTGTCTTCCTGATCAGTTGATTGGAGGTGAAGAAATTGCTGCTCTGGGCGCAGGAGAGGCTGGCGGTTGGAGGAAATGGCTGGTATCTCATTGTAGGGGAGGACCACTTATTAGGTAATATCATATATTTTCATAGGAGAGACATGATTTGTGAGTAAATTTCTAGTGATATTGTTACAGAAGAGGTTTGACTGGTGATATGGCAGCTGAGGTTCCAATTTTAGAACACTACTCATAACTTGGAGAGGAATTTGCTGGTTCATGGTTGTCTTGTCACAGGAGAGGTTTGTCAAGTTACAAATTAAAATTGAAGAACTAATCATTGGAGAGTCATGGAAATCATTAGGAAAATGGTAAATAACTAGACAATGTGTAAAGTTTCAACTGTTTTATTCAACATAACAGAGAAATATACATATATCTACAACTCCCAGGATCTTGGGGTCAAATTTACATTATTTACTTTTTTGGAAAAAAGCATTAATTTAACAGCTCTCGTACAATGACAAACAGATTTTATCATTCACTTAAAAATGGTTTAACATAAACATCTTATGTAGTTTAGCAGTTACAATTTTTGAAATCAATAACATTATAGGAATTCAACATATAAACCTTCAAATTAAAAATAAGTGCAACATAGACTAGTGTTTAAACAATTTTTTTAATGAACCAAGTTTACCAGTTTGAATAAAACTTGGTAAATATTTATCTGGTCTATACAAAAAAATAACCGCATTTAAGTTTAAAATGCTGTCCTAAACAGAACCTTTTTAGGTTCTAACTTTCACTTATACTTTCAAAATGAAGTTTTTCAAACCCAAATATGAATTAAAATATTTTATACCTACTCTATTCATATTGACCGTATTCACTATGTAATTTATTTTATCCTCGATCTTTGTGTCTGAAGACTATGATCCAATGACAAATAGAAATTCCTTAGAGTATCAAATTCCTAACCTGGAGAACACAAATACCCTCATTTAGTAATTAACATTTCCACTAGAAACCATTTAACAGTATCTGGCACTTTGAGGGAACTAAACTCACAAAACGTAGTATCAAAAGGAATGTAGTACCAAAATGAAAATGCATTGAATGAAACTAGGAAAAAGTTATGACAAATTTGAATAGTCATGAAAAACTGTAAAATAATGGTGAAAACTTGTACTAGAACAAAATATAAAACCTGCTAACAAGTGAAAGTTCCAAAAAAACCTTCAATAAAATAAGTAGTGTAACATAAACTATCATGAATCATGAACAAAAATGCATTTGATTATCAGCTAATCTACGTCTCATCTTCCTAATTACATGTGCGATTTGGCTTCCCGAATCTAGAAAAATTCACCTTAAAAATTGGCACTGAGACATGAGTACCCCAATATAAAGATATTTATAACTGTTTCATTAACGTTATTAAAACATATGATAATACTACGTTCTCAAAGTTATTGACAACAAATTATCAGGAGAAAAGTAACAAAGTTAATGTATTTAAACTTTTGATTATAATCTTAAGATGCTACATCTGTAACAAATTAAAGCTTAAAAACATTTTATTACTTTTAGTAGTAACATTTTAGCAACCAAATTACGATTAAAAATGAACAAAACTAAAAACTTATACAGTAGAACCTCTTTAATCCGAACTAATTGGAACCAGGGGTAGTTCGGACTATTGAATAGTTCGGATTACAGAACATATTGTTGTTTTTACATAACAATAGCTAAAACATGGCTAAAATTGATCAACATTATTTTGGGGAAAGTGAACAAATGTTTTATAAAGTAAAATACAGTGTTTATTTAATACAGTAGTTAAACATGGTGAATAAAACGTACTGTAAATTAAATACAGTATACAATAAAGAACTGCTGTACTGTGTATAGAGTACAGCAATGAGGGGTTCGGATTAGTGGACGTTTGGATTACGGGGGTTCGGATTAAAGAGGTTCTACTGTATCCTATTATTGAAATTAAGTAATAAATTCTTTGAAACAGTCATCGGACAAGAGAAACTGTTAACCAACTAACATTACCTCCTTTGCTTGTATCAAACAATAATTTGTAAATATAAAATAAATAAGAAATAAAATTTAAAATAAAACTCCTCATTCAAACAATAAACAACTACAGGTACTGCAACAGTATAGGCTCGGAAGTAGTCTAACAACTACGACGACTTTTAGGTTTCGGATTTGAAATCCTCGCCCGAATTGACACATAACATAAAATATAATACAATATAAATATGTACAACAATTATTCTCAACAATTCAATAATTTAACATTTTAATATCACTTGTTTCATACTGAAACTTGTAGTTTGGAGTGTCGGAATGGTGAAGTTCAATGGGTCCGACGTCGTACTGAAACAAAAGAGAAGTTACAAATCTAAATCTTCCAAATTTTACTACAAGACTGCAACAAGATCTTAAAAATAAGCAAATTTAAGGTTTAAGTTCCATTAATTCAAGAAACGGATATTCTAAGTTTTTATTGCACAAATCTACCTACTTATTTGCCGTTGACTTTAGGCTCGGAAGTGGAAGTTCTACATGGCTCCGTTGTGTCTCTCGACTGGTAAAACAGAATATATCCTGTCTCTGAGGACTTCTGTATGTCCGACGTCAGTCCGTAGAAGTCTTCAATGGCGGACTGGTCGATTTTCTGTAAGGGTGAAATTGAATTAAATCAGTGAAACACTAATATGCAACTGTTTAGAAAAGGGGTAATGACTCACCTAGCTAACATGTGAAAAATGTAACAATCAGGATAGCAATCATATTTTCAACCATCCAGGCTCCCTGCACCCATCAGGGTAAACAACCAGGCTCTATCAGGGTTGCCACCTTAGGTTAGGGAAAAATCAGGAAATGGCCTCCTCCCCCCGGATCAACATAGGCTTACACAGAACAAACAGGGAAATAACAGAAGGAAATGTACAGTCAAAGAGAATGCTGAAGGCACCTACAGGTGCGATAGCGGCAGAAGCCCTTGGGCTGAGTAGGAAGACCCTGCGGAAGGTGGTTGGCTTTATTAGTGGCCATTGGGTATTCCGTGGACATTTACACAAGATGGGAATTCAAGTTGAAAGCCTCTTATGTAGGAAATGTGGAGAGGAGGAGGAGACAGCATTCCACGTGATATTTATGTGCCCAGTCCTACAAGGTCTGCGCATGAGATCCCTTGGCCTATCGACTGGAGATCAAAGGGAAGAACGGGTCACCATAGTCAAAAGGATCTCACGGTTCTCAAAGGACCTGGGATTTGACAAAGAATGAGGACCTGTGAATGAGGGTGCACAATAAGCTGTTCTAGCTGCGATGCAATCCCATGGTTACTTAAAGCCTGGCCCTCTATTAAAAAAAAAAAAAAACATAGGCTTAAATACTGGCATAAGGAACCAAAATCGGGACTGTCCAGACGGAATCGGGATGGGTGGAAACCCTGGGCTCTATTGTGTGTGTACAATGTCAACCAGAGTATTTTTACTTCAAGTAGGCGAGTAAGCTACCATCCCAGATACCAGTGTGGGCTCTGCTGTATGCAACAAACAGGGTCAAAACACTAAAATACTATCACAGGAAGTTTTACAGGACAAAATATCAATGTTATGTGACACATATGCAAGAACCTGAACAAATCCTTTCTCACGGAATACATGCGCTATTTACTTTCGACATTCACGCTCGTACGAGTGTTCTATACTCACATCGACCATGTCGTCGTCAAACAGCAGCCAGAAGTCGTGACTCTTGACGATGCTGATGTAATGCCCTCTGTTGGGTCCGCTGCCGCAGTGTATCACCACGGCAACCAGGTTGTACATGCGGTCGGGGTTGACAGCGTCGTCCGACTGTAAAACACAAACTTGTACAATCATCTCAAGGTTTGGAATTGTTATGAAGAGGGATAGAGTCCAGCTAGTCCACCAGTGAGGATTATATATACACAAATGAAAGTTCACAACACAAGGGTATTTGTAAGAACAAACACTTGGCTTAGGAATACATTATGGAAGAAGGTATGGATGCACAACTTTACCTAAGAAAAGAGAAAACAGGTAGTTAAAAGTACAAAGAAAGTTTGAAACAGCCTGTACCTATTTCTTCTGAAGGTCCTTGTAGGGACAAAATATCAAGTTTATTGTGAGGTGAACATTTTTTTGCCTTTTAACTACCTGAAACTCTTTTCTTCGGTTGTGCAAATATTCCTTCTTCCTTGATTTATATCACAGTAAAGAATTTTTCCCTCCTGGTCCAAGTTTTTATCATCTTGATCAAATTTATAATCCTCCCTTAGATAAGCTCTTTAGGTGAGTCGGTGGCTCAGTTGGTATTCAACAGATTATGAATCCGTAGCAGGGAGATCGACAGTACATGCGTTCCTCACTATTGAATTTAATCCACATTCTAAAGTTGTCGCTGATGTTTTATTAAAACAGACGTAAAATGTGTTTAATTGATCCACTGACGGAGTGCCCTGATTTAATTAGTAATTTTTGTAGAATACGCCAAAAAGACAAAGATCTTAGATGTCACATACTATTATGAGTAAACAGAAGCTAAGGCGGAAAAGAATTTCAGACTGTAGCGCATTCTGCGAGTGGTTCTTTTAACTACGTTCTAATTTAATAAAATTACAGCTACTAGGTTGCTAGCTGGTAAATATATAGGATGTAGCTAATTCGAAACGTCATGGATTTGCTTCCCGATACCCAAAACTAAAATGTATCCAATTTTTACCTTGCTTTGCTAGATTTGTTCCACACACAGGAATGAGGTAAGTGGACTTTCAAAATATGTTATAAGAGGTCGCCAACCTCTTTTAATAGGAAAATTGAATATTTTGGTCCTTTGGACCGGATAAAATTAAAATGTTCAGCACAAACCTAATTAACAACTTAATGATACTTTTAACCTATCAATCTACATCGGTTTACTCAACTCACCGTATTAAACAGCCTCAGTTCTAACGGAAAGACGACTCTGTGAGATACTTTTATGTGCCTGTTGAACTGCTCCATGTACTTGAACCTCTTGAGGTGCAGCGCAAGTATCATCGGCAGCTTCTTTACCCTCATCCGTTTCTGCAACAACAAAATCCGTTTTTGATTCATAACAATCAAGTTTTCTAGGCTGACACAATTTTATAGGTTTCAACTGGTAAATAATTACTTGCTGGGTATCAATATTCATTGAAGCTTATAGGCTTTAAGATTAGTTCTGGGTAATGTTTCTTTAAGTAAATGCAGCTGAATGAAATTAGTTACCTCATATTACCTATACTGAACGCTTAGCCTGAAAATATCTCATTGGTCACAAAATGTACTACTTCCATGGTGAAAAGAAAAAAAAATGTTCAAAAAGAAATTGTGTTAAAAATGATTATCAGATTTGATGGATTTCAGTGACATCCGGAGCCTTTTTAGGAACTTTTTCAGAGAGGTTAAGGATAGCTGCGATCTAGAGATACCCTGAATGTAAATGAATTTGGTACTTGGTAAAAAACCTTAATCAATTCAAGCATAAAACATTTTGCAGTATAAACGCCCAAACTTGTTGATTTAGGCTAAACTTATTAGAACACAAGTCCTGTATTACACTTACACTCTTTTTGATACTTTCAAACAGTAGGCAAAGACGTAGTGCCTACTCTTATGTTATATCAACCACACCAGGTTAGGTTAGGTTATGTCACCAAACATATAAAATGAAAGCAAATGTATTTTTTAAACCTGGTGTGTTTGGTACAACAGAAAAGTACCCCAAAAATATTTGTGTCAATTCCTCAGAAATATTTTTAAAATTAAGAGTATTACTTCAGCCTAATTTATGAAGAAGGAGTTTTTGCGCATAAGGAAAAATATATAGCTGCGTGCCCTATATAAAGAGCCTGATATAATAACGCTTATAAAAGCCAAAAGAATTAGTTGGCTAGGTCATGTACTTGGGAGACAGGATGGCACAAGACTGAAGGAGGTTTGTGAGGCCGTACACCTACAGAAAGACGTCCGTTGGGTAGGCCTAAATTAAGATGGTATGACCAACTCAAAAAGGATGTGATCCAATGCGGAGGAGAAATCCGGATGGCGGAGGATAGAGGAGAGTGGAGGCGGCTAATCTACGAGGCAAAAAATCAACTGAGATTTGTGACGCCCCATCAGTAAGTAAGTAAGAGTATTATTTCACCTAGGGATGGACGAGATTGGATTTTTAATTCGCGACAAGACGGGATTTTTTTATTCCTCATAAATTTTGAGACAAGATTTAGACAGGATTTCCCTTCTCAAACATAACGGGAAATGCACGTTTGACATTTTAAGCTGATTTTGTAACATTGTTAAATACCTACTCCTAATTTATAACACATGACCAGTTAAATACCCAAATAATAATAATAAGCAAGAATCTCAAATTTTTTATTAAAAAACGTCAGTAAGAAAAAACAATTAGTCCTACTGGTCCTACCTTACTAAAAATAACTCTGACGCATAGGAAACTGCCGAAACTGGTGATATCAGTTAGGATATAGTTCAACTTTAAAAATACAAAATTTATCAGTCTGAAACATCAGTCTTACTAGTTAAGTAGACTATTATTAGGGCTAACAATTTTTCAGTCTTGTGTTATTTTTAAAATGATTTTGGAGTGACCTGTTTTGGCTATAAGTAGTAAAACATGTCTCACACTGATGATTACACTTAACAAAACTTCTCACCATTTGCAAAGTAAAAGAAGAAAAAAATATAAAACAATTAAAGCTATATTTATTTACATGGAAAGAATTATTTAATAAAAACGCCTTCGCAAAGGAAACGCAACAAAAACGCGCTCCTGTATTGCGGTTATTGCATTGACTTTTTTCAGGCTTTTAATTTTTTTTGTCTCAAAAAATCTTGACGAAAATTTAATATCGTCTTGAAGAACAAGATTTAAAATTTCTCAAAATTTTGAGACTCATCCATCCCTAATTTCACCTATTACCAAAAAACTCAGGAACGTTCCTAACTATTATTGTAAAGTAACTGTATTTCCCATCTCTACTCACCGTTGCCTCCTGATAGCTTGTACAGTGATCACATTTAAACTTGTTGTCATTGCTGAGCGTCTCCATGTTGCTAAAGCACCTGAGACAATGAGTGATGGACGTGTTCTGGTCAATGTCCACCTGGAGATCAAAGAAGTCTTCGTCCTTACTGCTCACCTGCGACACAATCAAACAGATAATGCAGACACTTGGATACTGAAGTAGACATTCTATCTATACGTAACACCTGAGACAATGAGTGATGGACGTGTTCTGGTCAATGTCCACCTGGAGATCAAAGAAGTCTTCGTCCTTACTGCTCACCTGCGACACCATCAAACAGATAATGCAGACACTTGGATACTGAAGTAGACATTCTATCTATACGTAACACCTGAGACAATGAGTGATGGACGTGTTCTGGTCAATGTCCACCTGGAGATCAAAGAAGTCTTCGTCCTTACTGCTCACCTGTGACACATTCAATCAGATAATGCAGACACTTGGATACTGAAGTACACATTCCATCTATATGTGACACCTGAGACAATGAGTGATGGACGTGTTCTGGTCAATGTCCACCTGGAGATCAAAGAAGTCTTCGTCCTTACTGCTCACCTGCGACACAATCAAACAGATAATGCAGACACTTGGATACTGAAGTAGACATTCTATCTATACGTAACACCTGAGACAATGAGTGATGGACGTGTTCTGGTCAATGTCCACCTGGAGATCAAAGAAGTCTTCGTCCTTACTGCTCACCTGTGACACATTCAATCAGATAATGCAGACACTTGGATACTGAAGTAGACATTCCATCTATATGTGACACCTGAGACAATGAGTGATGGACGTGTTCTGGTCAATGTCCACCTGGAGATCAAAGAAGTCTTCGTCCTTACTGCTCACCTGTGACACATTCAATCAGATAATGCAGACACTTGGATACTGAAGTAGACATTCCATCTACATGTAACACCTGAGACAATGAGTGATGGACGTGTTCTGGTCAATGTCCACCTGGAGATCAAAGAAGTCCTCGTCCTTACTGCTCACCTGTGACACATTCAATCAGATAATGCTGACACTTGGATACTGAAGTAGACAGTCCATCTACATGTAACACCTGAGACAATGAGTGATGGACGTGTTCTGGTCAATGTCCACCTGGAGATCAAAGAAGTCCTCGTCCTTACTGCTCACCTGCGACACATTCAATCAGATAATGCTGACACTTGGATACTGAAGTAGACAGTCCATCTACATGTAACACCCGAGACAATGAGTGATGGACGTGTTCTGGTCAATGTCCACCTGGAGATCAAAGAAGTCTTCGTCCTTACTGCTCACCTGTGACACATTCAATCAGATAATGCTGACACTTGGATACTGAAGTAGACAGTCCATCTACATGTAACACCTGAGACAATGAGTGATGGACGTGTTCTGGTCAATGTCCACCTGGAGATCAAAGAAGTCCTCGTCCTTACTGCTCACCTGTGACACATTCAATCAGATAATGCTGACACTTGGATACTGAAGTATACAGTCCATCTACATGTAACACCTGAGACAATGAGTGATGGACGTGTTCTGGTCAATGTCCACCTGGAGATCAAAGAAGTCCTCGTCCTTACTGCTCACCTGCGACACATTCAATCAGGTAATGCAGACACTTGGATATGGAACTCTATCCAGTATCTACTCATCATAAAACAACAAGGAACATCATAAAACCCAACTTGTTGGTTTATTTGAAACAGCTGTCAATAATATTCTTTGGTTCTTTTTAAGTGTTCTTTCAAAATCCCTGACATGTGTACCTTAAAGATGGTCCCAGGGCACCCTGAACGTTAACGAAATTGATGGTGTATAAACCTATTCCATGAAATTCTTCATGTATGTACCAAGTTTCGTGGCCATCGGTCCAGCGGTGTCTCAGTTTATCACTGCCAAATTATAAATACAAACATCCTCTATTATATTTATAGATTTGTCGCCAATTATTTATTGAAAATTTCAGCACAATGACACATACTTTTTCCCATTAACTTGTCTAAAGCCCTTATAAAGGGTAAGCGATGAGAGTAAACATGACGTTTCATGGGGAAAATCACAAAAGTTGCAATCAATTTTGAACTGTAATTTTAAAATACCCTATTCAATGTCTGTCTGAGACGTCTTTGATAAATATAAAAATTTCAAAAAGGATACTTTTGGTATTATATTGACCACACATAAATTGACTTCCAAATAAGATTTCAAATAGCCTAGTTCAAATAATAAAATCTTCCACTCTTAGTTGGGTCTGACTTAGGGGAGGTACGAATGAGGCATTTAGTTCAAAATTCCTCCGTGAACAGCGCTGTAGTAGAGAGCACTTTGGCAATGAAGGTTTACTAATCGCAAAAATAGTTCTGTTCATAAAATAAAATTATAAATGTCTCAAATTCAATTTTATTATTTTTTAATAATAAAATTAAACTATCATAACCTAACCGAACTAACCAAACTTGCTGATAAAGAAATAATATAACAAAAGTTTAGTAATCGGAAAAATAATTCTGTTTATTAAATAAAACTAGAATTTGCTCAATTAAAATTGTATAATGACTTAATAATAAAATTAAACTGTAATAACCGAACCAAACCAACCAAACTTGCTGATAATAAAAAATCTTGGACAAAAAGTTAATGCTACCAGTAGGATTCGAACCCGGAACCTACAGTATATCAGCCCGACACGCTAACCATTAGACCACCGAGGCCGATGGCTACCGATCGTTTTGTTACGGTAATGGCGTTCCCTCAGCTAATAAGAAGCCCACAGCTGTCATCGTAGCCTCTTCTATACCTCCCCTGAGTAAATACCCTCTTAGTTTAGGTTAGGTTAGGATAGTTTAGGTTATAATTATTATATGAGGTCGGTATGATACCAAAGTACTAAAGAAAATTAAAAAAAAAACTTTTGGGGAAACCATGGATTAGTAGGTCTCTACTCACATACCAAATTTCATTTAATTTGGACCACAGGTGTAGACTGTGTACACATCCACACACACATACACTCATATGTATACAGACTTTTGAGAAAAATATCATACATTTCTGAAAACCTACATCAACTCATGCTAGTTCATTTATACTATATTGTGCACGCAGTGGGGTTATGTTTATGATAGACACAGCTAGTGTGTCCATTTATTCGTTAATGTGAACGTTTTTTACAACTTCTACTCACAGTTTCACAGTTCAGGCAGCGAGTTTCACTTGTCAAGATGCCCTGGAAGATCTCGTGAACCCACGTAGGCTCTTGACTGCCCTCTGCCTCTCCGTTCTTGTTTTTGTTTTGCGGCCGCTCGGCTGTAAAAAGAAACAATGATGAAAACAACAGGTAGCCTTTATCCTTTAACCATAACAAAATTTTGATAATCCTCAATAATGGCTGACAATCTGATAGTGGCTAAGTGATTGTGAATATTCAAAATCGTGGATATTGCAAACCTAACCTACTACCTATGTCCAGGAAATCATTTTTGAACATATAGCTTTACAGATTAATGTTATAATGAAATGTTTTAAATTCAATGGATACCTTTTAATTTTGTTTCTCAGGTGTCCATTTACAAATCAAATAATATTGGAGAGCCTATGTATAGGCCTAGTATTAACAAAAATTAAAACACACACACCAAATGTAACTTATTAACTCATTGGTTACGTGACGCATCAGTGGTCAGTGAGGTGAACCACCCCAACTATATAGTCTGTCCTCGAGACGATGGGACTCACACTAAGCATCTGTATAACGTACGTATTTGACTTGTCTAATTTTTTATTTTTATTTTTGTGATCACAAAAACTGCAGTGAGGTTAATTTATCATGGATAATAGAGAGTCTACTGTCACTTTTAAAAACTAGGTGACACAAAATAGGCCAATGACCTGTAGAATGTAAAGCATAAACCTAAACGTTAAACTTTAAATTTAAATCTTTTGATAAAAAAAAAAAATTAAACTTATTATAATTTACTAAAATTATAGAGGGATATTTAAGCTAAATTAGCCTATTCAAAAACAAGTGCTTATATTTTGTGTCTGTAGCAATTTCCATCCCTCACATAAATTATTGTAAACAACTTGTTTGGAATCGTCACATTTTAAATGTGTTTTTGTGTCTTAATGGTAGGCCTAAGGCCTAAGTTATTTCTAGGTAGGCCTACTTCTTGATTTTTTTTTAATTACAAAATTACCTGTTCACTTGACGAGGTATACGGTAGCCTATTTGATTCACAAAAGATGTTAATGTTTGGGTTTGATGTTTTAAACATAAATACTCACAAAGAATGATTTCGTTGATGTGATTGATGAGAAAGTTGAGAAATTCGTGAGCATCTTGTTGCATGTAGTTGTCAAACTCCTCTGTAATAAAATCACAACTTAATTAATTGTAATTTAATTAATTGTTTTCTATATTTACTTAAATTTCATAATAATTTAGATTACTTGCACATCAAATACAATAAACCTTTATTTCATCCCCGCTATTTTGTGCTTTTGGATTTTGTGTTGTGAACAAAAAAATACTGTAGCCTACGATCCAAGCAATTGGCTGCATTGAAATCCAAATCCAATATATGGCTAAATTCAAACACTAGGAAAATACTAACGATGTTAAACACTAAAAAGTTAGTTGAACTACAAAGCTATAACGCATTTTGAAAACTCCATATGATAGTCTAACTAAAGTGTTAGGCCTAAATCAGGTCGTACATTAAACCAATGTTAAGAGTATGCAACATCATAGCCTACCTTTTTCTTTCCGTAACCGAGCGATAAATTTCTTCGGAGCGATGGATCCAACTTTTTTCTTCTGTGTAGCAATACTATGGAACAAATCAGCTAAGCACGACAGCAGTGTCTCTTTGGTCCGCTTGTTTCTCGCTTTGTATTCTAAAACCTTTTCTCTAAACGGTTTGCAGAAGTATAAAGCTTGTAAAACTGAATTGCTATAACAGGTATTGCCAAACTGGAAAAAAACAAATCAGGTGTAAATAAGATTGGTACTGTATATCATTTTAACCTTATTATAGGAGACGATGCCAAATATTATTAAAAATAAAATAAGTATAGCCTACTTTACAACTATTGTAATGTACGTAACATCTCCAACTCCATCGTAACTTATTATCAAGTCTAAGTTACAATCGATAAAGAAAGTTTGGGTTTTGTTTAGTTTGAGGGCAAATGTTTTATTTACCATTTTAACATGGTAAACAATTTTTATTTTGTTATGTCTAGATAGTAGATACAGTATTTTGCACACTGAATTTAATATGTTATCGTCAGAAAGACTCCTAAGAGGCTGTAGAACAAAGTGAAATAATACAAGTGTAACGACCCAAAACCCGTCAAGGGGTAAAAACCCGATTTTTAAAGTTTCACTTTAAGATATTATAATTTTCTATGTTCTGGGTAAGCCGCGCCCGCGTTGTCAGCGGCATCGTACGGGCAAGGGTCCTACGTCATTGTAGAGGGGAGGACGCTAGTTACCTACCCCGCCGCCAGGGGCGATGGCGAAGAAGGACCAGAAGAGCAGACCTCATGGTCAGTTGTCCACCCGCTACCGAACCGTCAGTACGCCAGCTGTTTGGAGATATATCCAACAGTCCTAACTTACGAAATTCTGGTCAATTAAAGATTTCCCTGTTCCTGGTAGAATCCTAAGGCATTAGGTTAGTGTGCTGCCGAATTTATTTTGTTTATTCTCATTTATAGAGAAGTTTTAATTATTTTTATTTTATTGTGCCGCAGTCGCGCGCACCCCACACGCTTTTTCACATATGAGCACACTACCTTTTGTCTTAAACCAGCTTCGGAAATCATTTAAGTTGCCAGAACAGTTTACGTACAACTTATTCCGTAACCCCGAACCGGCTTACGTAAATTTAATTTAGGAAACTCCGTATCGACTCTGGTGATCGACCAAGTCAAATTTTCCCGACACGTTTACTTTGGTGATTACCAAGTATAACGAATGAATCACATTTAGGTTAAGTAACCAATTATTTAGGCTTATCCACGTTCACGATAGTTTATTCAAAATTCTAAATTTAGCTTCACAAATTTTTCGAGTGGCTATGATGAGCACTTGTTAAAGGTAAGCTTAACATTGTAAGCATTATTTTTGTAATTAATATTCTGAGCCAATAACTCGAACGATAATTAATAAACTAACGCTTTGGAGTCCTGGACTATCTCATTGTAGGCTAGGCTATCTGGACAAAATTAAGGTGTGGCCTAATTTCAGGTGAGAAGACTATTACGCATTTTAAAATCAAATTTTGTCTCTCAACCCAAAATTTTGTCATACAAGGTCCATTGAGCAGTTCGGATGGTAATGTAACGGTAGGTTACCCCAGCTAACTGGAGGTGTATTCAATGCCACTTAGAGTGGCTTGGTTCAGGAATGAAACTCAGCACTCGATTACAAAACCCAACTCTATTCTTAGCCCAAAAAAGAATTCAAAGGTTAAAGGTAGAATAGACTGGAACAGTGATAATTTAGATTAAAACAAAAACCCCAACTAGGAAAAAAAACTCTAAACCCCAATTTCGAAAACTCCTAAGATTGGAAGGAACTTGTCCTCCAGTACACCATAATAAACACTACACACAAAAACCTCTGATAAAGTGCGCTGGCCTACTTAAAGCAACAGCCTTCTGTAGGTCAGCACAACAAGTTATTGTTTTTAACAACACTTTCAGCCTACTCGCACAACATTGCCAAACAGTTCCCTTTCACTAAACCCTCTTATCACAGTAACATGGTGGTTTGGACGAGTCCGTATGTGCACTGTAGGTAGCAAACAGCTGATTATATTAGACTTCATGTGCAATGGAAATGATTAATTTGGAACTGTTTGTCCTGAACAAATCGTTTGCAGACTAATCAGTTATTTAGGCATATGTGGGGAAGGCAGGTTGGATATTATGCTGATATGTGACTGTAAGTGTTTTGAAATTAGGTTAGATTAGGAAAGCAAATCAATTATATTACCCCCAGACTGTTTTTGCACAGTTGAAATAGTGGGTGAAACACAACAAAATAACACTTTCTAAAGCTCACAGCAATACTTACATTTACTAATCCAAAATAGTGCTCATTGGGTGGAAACTGATCAGCCCCTATGTCTCTTTCCAGTTGAGATATGTTTGCACCCTGAAACGTTTAATTTTTAGTACAAATTTCTGCTAGGTTAAAGTAAGTCAAGAATCAGCCAAAACACATCCCTTCAAGAGACATAGTCTAACAAAGAATAATAAGCACTAACCTAAGATTACATTGTTAGCCTCTAGTTAAGTAATGAATTGTGCTTTTTGTTGGAGAAGATTAACAATATGGTAAGGTTAACGAATTATAGGCTAACGCTTATTCATAAAATTGAATGTAAGTTTAGGCCTAGGCCTAAATAAATAGACCTATTGGCTATATACATACAGGCCATAAAGGTTTTTTATATTGTTGTGGTGTTTCTAGACCAATTATTTGAGAATAAATTAAAAAGGTTAAAATACAAGATTGTCGCCTGTGGTCAAGTCCTATTGGATTATGTGCATTTCGGTGCCTACCACATCATCAGGTCCAAGATATTTAAGAACTAACCTTGCCTGAAGAGATGCACTAATAGTTAACAAAGCAAACACAAAAACAAAACACTTGTCGACTATTATTGACATTTATCATGGTTTGTTTTTTGCAAAGCATGCACAGGCATGGTGTTATGGAGGTGCGCCAGATTAGTGTCCGGACACTACTATGCGCCTCCATATTGCCCTGCCCCGTGCATGCATCGCTAAAAAACAAATCATGTTAAATTAAATGTAAATTAAGTATATAGTAGACTAGACCCGTCACGGATTGGTGTGTTTAGTTTGTTAACTTTTGACGCACCTCTTCAGGCAAGTATAAGTTAGTTCTTCCTAACGTAGTATTAGGGCAACTTGGACCACAAGGGGACAGTCAGGTATTTAACCCTTTTTATTTTATTGCCTACTGGTACCTGTCATAAAGGCGATGTGCTCTAAATTTAACATAGCCTACTATATCGGCCAATCAGAAAAAAGTGAACATTACAGTAAACCTGGCCAGGATAAATCCAGGGATAGCCTAAAGCTTTAGATGACCGAATGTTATTTCACCATTTTAGGTTAGGACTGAATGTTTAAGTGGTAATCTCAAATAAGTTAGGACACTGTGGGATGGGTTTGGCCTAACTTTTCAACAACTCAGCCTTAGCCTATGTGTTATTTCAAGAACTAACCCACGAACCATATTAGGCTATCGTAACACGTTAAATCACGTTTGTGTTAAAAGAATTATTTTAACCACCAATGATTTTGGAAATGAATAATGCTAGGCCTAATTATTTCATGCTTAACTACTTACCATGTCTCAACTTTTTGGAACGGATAAAATATTACATTTCACTATCTAGGGGAAGATAAACTATTTTAAACTTGTCAATACAAATAGAATACAATTTTATGGAGATAATGGAATTGGTTTAATTGTAACTAAAAACACGAATGTCACATTTATTTACAAATTCTTGAATTTAAGATGGGATGTTTCTGGTTATGCCGTCTGTTGGGCCTATTCATCCGATCATCTGATTCTGACTGAACCCTGAACGAACTGAAACTGAATCTGAGTCTGAACTGAACTGAATCAGAATGAGAACAGTTTACGAGTTACGACAAGTAAAAAAGAAAAAGGAAGATATTCAGGACCATTGTTTATGGAAAAGTTAGCCCTTTTTTAGTCATTGGCATAACGGGCAACTTCCACCCATCGACATATAAAACTAACTGGATTGCGCGCAGGCCGTAAGGGTCGTGTAGAACTTTCCGAGCCAATACAGGAGTGTATCGGGGTTGCCGCATGGGCAAATTGAAGGCAGCATGTGGGATATAGCGCGCGAAACCGTGTCTGCGCACGTGCGTGTTACAATAACCTCCCTCAAAAACTATTTTGTTAGCATGTAGAACCTTGGCTGGTAACGTTTTTCTCAATCATAAAGGTAATAATGAATTTGGCGAGGAAAGCCATGACATAAAATTAATCAAATTAATTGGTATTATGTTTAACAAAATTATATGCTCAGCATTTGTAAGCGTAAAACAGCAGAAGCTTCTCTGTCAAAGCTTGGAATGTGGCAGAAGTTAAATAAGCTTATTCTTTTTAGCAATGTTTAGGCTAAATATGTTTCTTTGTTTTACAAAGTTTCCTAAATAAAATGTTCTTATACAATCTAACCTCGTTCTTACTAATACCTTACCCCAGAATATTTGGTATTTTACGAGAAACTGATAAAACCCATTTTAACAGAAACTATTTTGTACTAGGTGAATCCCGTCGAAATCGACGGTTAGTTTCAAGGCTTAAACGCTAACTCGTGTAAGTAACTGCGATAAATTGAGTGAAATTATACATATTTTGAGCATATATGATTGTTTAGATAGTAATAAGTGTAAAAACAACAATGAAATTAATTGCGTTAGTTACCAAATATGGTTGATCATTCAATGAATAAAATATTTCCCATACTGTACGTCATCGAAGCTATTATTAGTATGTTATCTGGTATCTCTTCCTTTGGAAGAACCTTTAAAATCGTATTGGTGGATCTTTTGTAGTTAAACACTTCCGCGATTTCATCAGTGTAATGCAGATTAATCTATGATTTTATTTGAAAAAAAATATCTGTTTGTTGGGAAGACACTTTCTAAGTAGGTACCTTCAAAGGGAGGTATATACGTTACAGTGTAAGTTTGATTTTTCCTTCTTCACGCCGCGTCAGTTCACATCGTACTTCTGTGCCAATGAATAACCCTCTAGCACAGTTTTGAGAAATTGGTTGTGGGGTTACTGTTAAAGCTGGAATTCCTTGACATGGGGGATGTCAGTTAGTTGTCTCAGTCTTATCAATTACTCAAAGTTGTCAATATAATCTATCTACAGACTGTTTAGGTGTAGTGGAATATACTTAAGTGAAGTTGGCTTTTATTCTTGAACTGTTAGGGGCTCCCTCGTTTATATGGTCGTGCGGCTTCATTGGCAACAAATAACGCAAATGACATAGCAATGTGGGATTTCCAAAAAGCAAAAAATTCTGTAAATTGGCTGTTACGTAAATATTGACGTTAACATGCATTGCTAATAAACGTATCTTATAAAGGATTATGTGATCTAGTTTAGAAGGAAAATGACCTTTCTGTCATGACAGTAGCTACTTGAATATTATTTACTCATTTGGCCATTTTTACAGCCCAAATCATGCACTTATTTCTATATAAATATTGTAAAATGTTTTACCCAGTTGCTGTAAACTACTATTAATTTAACAAAATATGGACACGGCTCAAATGGGCACCGTGCCCTTCTGAACTTGTATTATTTTGTATTGTATTACACAATCGAAGATTTTTCCGACGATTGAAAACATGTATGACGAAAATCTCATGAGCCTATGATCTGTATCAGAAGGCAAAAATTGTGAAAAGGGCAGACACCAACCCATAAAATAGATATAAGATAGTTTAATAAGAAATAATTGTAAGAGTTACTGAAATAAAAGAATTTTCCACTGATTTCGTAATGGACCGTTATATTGCAAACCATGACATGATACAGAAGAAAATCAATTTAAAAATCAGAAAATAAATGTGTGTTGTTTGAAATACAATTTTTAAATGAACAGCTGTTTCATTAAAAGTATTATCCACAAGGCCAGAATGTAAACAAATCTGTGGAGAGATCTGTAAAGGCTTCTGGAGCAGAGCCCTAAGGGAATTTACTTTGTTTTTTATTTTGATAGCTCATCTACAGACCAAGACCTTTATTTGGACACCTCTACCAAGTTTCTACGCCCAGCCGTTCTCTCAAATTAGTGGACACAAAGTTTCCAATTAAATATTTAGATTCCCCCATGTTAATCTTATGGGAAAAACTCGACTTTGATGGAAGATCCTGCTTAAACTAATAAAGATTTCAAAAAATGAAAAACACTTTGCAAAACTACAGATCAGGGCCATTTTTTTGACACCTTAATCGTAAAAATCGGTCCAAAAATGAGGGAGGAGTTCTGTTTACAAAAATCGGCTTAGCGTATTATATATATAGATTGTAACATTGAAACATAATTGGTTTCGTTAGAGTAGTAAGTGAAGAAAGAACAAATTCGTAAAGGTTTCTTAATTGTAATATTTTATTACTTTTACCAGCTGTGTGCCCGTTCTACGCACGGGGCTCTTATAGTAGTAGGTTGAAACCTTCTTGTATTAAGAACAGCAGTTGGTTTGCATATTTTCAGATATGCTAACAAAACTATTACCTAATAAACTTTCGCAAGTACAGTATCTGATTGTTTCAAGGCAAAACAAATGCTTCGCAATTAAATGTCACGTGGCTCGTGTTGGTCCTTATGTTAAATCCAATGATTAAACTAAAAAGAGCTTTATAGGCCTAGATCTATGAGGCATATCCCTAAGGTAAGTCTATAGTTGAAAGTTAGTTCCACAATGGCTAAAAGTATTTACAGTATTGCCTCGACCTCACCATTTAACACTTTATTCGGGTTGACATTTTCATTACCTTTTTTTCGTGACATTGAGAAAAAGGACACTAATGCGTTAGCAACAGACATACACACAAAAATACAGAACTTAATTAAGGAATTTGCAACGCTTCAAGCATAACAAGTACATATAAAATTAGTATTTGAAATCTTTCTCAAAATCATAAAATTTTATCATAGCAATTTATATTTGCTTAGACCGAAGATGACCCGATACTGTTAAAATAACGGCTTACAATATGAAATGAAGTACTATTAGATGATTCAGATTGGTAATTTATAATACAAATTACCAAAATAGGCCACGAACTATTGATACATGAACAACGTAAATCGTAACGATTCATGATGGTTTGCTGAACAAATGTTTTACTAAAATGAGTTATCATTGTCTTAGCATAAACGAACATTTTGGAATCCAGACAGAAAAAGCAAAACTTATACAGTTAAGACATCAATTAAATTGAATACGGCTGTAATAAGGTGCAACACCAACGATAACTTATTTGTATCTAATCTATATTTATATAGATTCCATCATAAAATATTTAAAATCGGAATTTAAATTATATTTGTTAAGGAACCTCAGTGTGAAATATCCGCCGTCAGTTAATATTTATTAATTGTTGTAATTAATAACTAAAAAAACTCGGTTATTTACAGGGTTATTTTTACGCTTTTATTACTTGTACAAAAGTTCATGAAAATTGATTATTAAAATGCCTTACATCGTTTTAGTAGAGAGTAAAGGGCTGGATAAAGTGCATCGTCCTGGCCGCGACAATGCTAAGATGTGGCGCAGCGAGACGCTTAATCCCACATGACGCCTGCAAAATCTGAAACGCAACCCCGGTCGTTGGCTCGGGTCGCGGAGCCTAGCAGCCGATCCATAGTTTTTTATGTCGATGCTTCCACCATGGGGCATAACTATTACTTTTGACCTAGCAAAATTAAAAGGGACTATTCAACTGAAGCTTTTTAGTATTATTGTTGTTTTATTCCACAACTACTGTGAATATAGTTATTGTGAAGAAAATTAAGTGAAAAGGGAAAATAGTATTAGAAGTTATAATGCCACAACCAAGCTACTATAATAAATTGATTGATCGAAGTGCAACCACAGTGCAACGCTATCTTTTTTAAGCATTGATTTCTAAACATTCATTCTTCATCCTTTTGAATCAGTCGAAGGCAAACAAGTCTGATAAGTAAAGTGTGAATAAGTTATATAGTATTATTTGGTATTACTCACGATTACTAGAAAAATACCTTTTACCAAATTTGTTAACGTATTCAATCAAATGAAACTTGATGTTTGATCTATCGCCTCTTTAATCTCCAGTGGTATAATTAACTAAAAAAAGATAGAATTAAGTATTTTTAAGGTTTTTTACTGTACCACTTCTGAACAAAATTAGCATTGCGATATTTTTTAACAATTTACAAATTCAGATTTATCTCATTTACCATTCAACCCAGGTTTCACATTTATCGTATTAAACCCAGGGTGACCGAACCCATTTTCCAAATCTTCTCTGACTGAAAAATCAGGTCTAGGAGTTGGTAACTTGGTGAGACCATGCCATGGACTAGTAACCAACACAAGAAATTTTAGATCTCGTTTTTGTGTCTAGTCAAGGCCGCACTTGATAAATCTATATTATATCTAGGGTGGCCTTGGCTAGTTCATGTCCGGTTACACTGATCGCTAGTGGCAAGAAATTTTGTTTCGAACATTTTGAGGGTTCATTTCGGGGACAGCTCACTTACTCTACAGATCATAGACTATACGAGATTTTTAAATAATATTGAAGGTTCACTTGCACTACAGGCTCGTATACTATACGAGCCTATCGAAAATAAAAAGTAAATGAAGAGGGTTCACTTACTCTACAAATCATTGTGCCTATGAGCCTCGTGTATTATATTTAAAAATACAGTAGGAAGGTTCGCTTACTCTACAGATCATAGTGACTATGAGCCAAGCTTACGAATTATTTGATAATTCAGGAATCGGCTCG